TGATATTGGAATGCGAGGGTTTGCGTGACAACCACTGTAGTTCGAAATCGTTCACGAATGTTCGAGACAAAGGTCGACCGAGTCTATAAACATCGCCGTTAAACGTTAAACGTAGAACGTTCGAATATACGTAAATCGTCGAGATACGAATAAGAATGTTAATAACTAATGAGCGCGGAATGAATGTTAATTAAATGCGACACGCATGTATCCAATTTGTCGACGATCATAAAACACCGGCTGCATCTCGCGTAAACCGCTAAACAACAAAATTAACAGAACAATTAACGTATGAATAATAATTAACGATATTCAACTAATGGTCATTCAAACTAGTAAACCAAATATTTTTAATAAAATGAAGACCTCTTTCGATACCGGAAATATCATGATAAAAGCCTCTTTAATTAGCAAATTCAAATAAATTAAGTCGTAACAGATTTCGAATATTCCAGAACTTTAGAATTGCGACGCATGAAATCCGTTGTAGCGTTAGAGGGGTAGAAAGAAATGGACAACCTTAGACGAAGGTAGAAGGAAAAGCCAGGAAGGGATGAGGGAACTAGGAAGAGCGGCCAACTAGCCCAATACGCGCGGGATTCCCCTCCGTCACGTACCCCGATTTGCCAAATGATGTCCCCACTTTGGGCCCTTGATCGCGGGTCGAACCCTGAGACACGATCGCTAGACTGAGGCAAATTACTCTTCGTCGATAAGTCGCAAGGTGTGTGACGGGGAGCCCGTGTTCGCGTAGAGATAGAGTTGTTAGTAAAATCGCGTAATTAGATTGCTCGGCAAGTCCTCTTCAAGGCAGAGTGTCGAGAGAGTTTCGGTTCGGGGTTTTGTGACAAGGACTCAAACGGATACGTTAAATTCTTTTCATACTCTTCAAATCCTATCTTTTCTCTTTCATTTTATATCATCTCGTGTATTAATTATTTTTCTTTCTTTTTCCGCGCCGCGTTGATTTAAAAATACTTTGTGTTCGTTTGTAATAGTTTGAATTCGTCTCGTAACATCGTAATAAAGGCCGATCGCAAACGCGTAGTGCAGTGGCAGTTTCCTCATCTTTTCTTTGATTTCCAGATTTCTCAACGACACCAGCAAAAGAAAGCGTCTATCTCTCACTATTATTAGATATTATTTCATCTTGTTTCCTGGTAAGTTGTCCATTTCATTTTATCCAATACGACGAATCTGGACGTAGCGAGGCAAAACGGGCGATCTACGAAACCGCGTATTCTGGAAAGTTTCCCTCTAGATCGTTCCGTTCAAAATAGAGACATAAGGTATCGAATATTTAAAATATTTAGAAAATTCCGATTTCACACAAAAGAAGACGGCCCCACGAAACCGTGATTCTGGTAGTTTACCCTCTGGGACCGTTCTTTCCTTTTGTTCGCGTTTAATTCTGTATACGACATCGTCGCTCGAATCGTCGAATCGTTTAATCAAACATTAATTATTCCGTAATCAATAGTCTCACTTTCATATAATCTAAACCTTTCTTAACAATGCATTTATTTTCCCTTGTATTTCAAACAGCTCGCATTTTCTGTTAACCAACCATTTTATTGTCACGCTTACTTTTTTGAGATTATATTTTTGTTACGCCTAAACTGTTTTAATTCATTCACGTTTCAAACCACTTCTTTTCCTTCATTTTCACGCCTACCATCTTCGTACAAATTCACACGAGGGGCCCGTATGGGACTAGAGCATTGACGAACCCGATTGATATCTTAATTAACTATTAATCAATCTATCAACTCTTTTATTGTTCTAATCGCGAAGGACCTAACATCGTCTCAAGCGATTAGGACTGGTGGCAGCGCTAATACCGTTCTCAACCGCGTATCAGCCAACATAATAAAACATAGTAAAACTCTCGTTTTTATTTTGTACGTCGCGCGCCGTCTCTCTCTCGCTCGCGACGTAACAACCGTTTATACAAGCTTCGCATAAGTTATCATTCGGTACAATTTTATCAATATATTCTATGTCATCGACCATTTTCTTGTTTTTTAACTCTAAGAATTTAGATTTTCCCATGTGCCCCAAACTCCTATGCCATAATTCATAATTATTATTTAAAACATGATTTATTTGAACATTTATGCTGCTTACCCTTTTCGCATTTATCTCTAATTCCACTGCAATTAAATTATTTCAGGGCTTACCAGTCATGATGGTTTTACCATTTTTTCCGATGGTCACACCATTTGTGTCGAAGACGATACTCATTCCTTTTTGCTGCATCCTTCGCACAGACAAAAGGTTGTACGGTACTTCCGCACAGTAAAGGACATCTTCCAGAGTTCCTTCAATACCCAAATTGGTTTTGACCTGGATGTTTCCTTTCCTCGTAGCCGTGATGAATGCTCCGGTCTTCGCTATAGAAATTTTCACGGGCGGCTGCAATTCTTCGAAATCGGAGAACACATTGTCCTTGTTGACTAAATGGTCCGACGTTCCGGAATCCAAAAGAAACGTCAACTTTCCTTTTTCTTCCATCATATGGTCGTCCCCAGCCATAAATACAAATCCCAATGTATTTTCTTGTGTCCCCTTCGGTTCTGCTTGAACTGTTTGAACAGTTTGAACAGTTCTTTTTCGCTGTTCTTTATACTGGAGGCTCCTTTGATAATGAAAGCAGTCTCTAATTTTATGTCCCTTTCTACCGCAGTGATGACACTTAATCATCGACGCACTAATTTTTGACCTCGAGAATTGTTTTTTATATTTTTTATAAATTTGAGGTCTACTCGAGCCACTCGCACCTCTAAAGTTATGTCTAATATTTTGTGTGTTCACTTGCTGAGCTTGAAGCACCTTTTCACTCGTTGAACTGCACTCCGCTCTTAATTTAACCTCGTGGTCCAATAATCGTGTCTTTACGAATGCTAACGTTATATTATCTTCCGATAAAGTTTCTATCGCAGTTATTACACCGTCATAGTTTGTTGGAAGTGTCAATAAAAGATGTGACACTTTATCCGTCTCTTCCATTTTCGCTCCTGCTGCCGACAGTTCAGTGATCAGATCATCAAAGACTGTAAAATGTCTCACAAGAGGTATATCACCCTGCAATTTCAGACTTAACAATTTTTTTCTTATTGCCAACTGGGTTGCTAAACTCTTCCTTTCGTATAATGCGTCCAAATTTTCAAAAATCTCTCTCGCAGTACACCCTGTACTCGCGAACCCGAGAAAGGAATCAGACAAATATTCCACTATCACATTTTTAGCGACCCTTTCAGCTTTTATCCATTCGATGGTCAACATGTCTGGAGCTTTTTCATCAATTACCTTAATCACGTCTAGTTCACTCATTAGAGCACGCACTCTCAGCTTCCAAACACTATACCGCTCACCATCGAAAGATTTAATGTTTCTTTTTGTCTTAAAATTTTCCATTGTTTTTATTGTCTTTTTAAAACTAACACACACAAAAAAAAAACACACACGATTATATATATAAAAAAAATGAAATGCCTCTAAATATAGATTAATACACTATTTAATAAAAAAAAACTAATCACTATATTTAGTCACTATAGTTTCTTTATCAGTATATTATTTGTCTGTCACTTTATTAAAACATAAAGTTTATTATTAAATTGTTAACTGGGCCCATAACCTATTAGATTATGGGGATTATTATAATAAAATACACAGTATATTTCAACAAAAAAATACTTTATTTTAAGGCTAGGAAGGACGTCTTCTCTCTATGACGTTTTGACACGAAGTGGAAGAAAGCCCGTAAGGACAAAGCTAAAAGTCTGTTGCCCACTTAAAGATTCTATAAAGACCAAGACTGCATTCAGTCTGTTACCCAGGCCCTCAGGTATAAACAGTCCCAGGCCTATGGGTCCGTTGACGTCTGGTCCATAAACAAAACATTAAAGCACGCAGTGCTTCTCAAATATACTAAATTTATTTTTGCTTACTTGCTGACGCATTGTAAGTAATCCAACAATTTTCATTTACAAATGCCACATAATTCCATCACAGGTTACCATTTTGGATCGACTATTCAAAAACTACAATTTTATAATTTTAGATTTTTACAATTTTATAATTTTTGGTGTTTATTTAGAATATTTGGAGTTTTAATCCTGATTTAGCGATTCAAAAACACCATTATACTCATTTTCGAGAAGAACATTCAATTTTTCAATACACACGTCGCTCATATTGGATTCGCCATTTTGCTTTTTAAAACTTTTACTTATGATTTGTGATCTATAACACTAAATACTCCTATACAGCAAGTTTCAGCCGATTATAACATTTTTTTCGTACACATGCTCACTATATGGGATCCACCATTTTGTTCTTTACAATTTTGATTTTTGATTTGTAATCACCGACCTCGAAAACCCCTAGGTACGTATTTTCATTTAAATTGAAAAACACCTTCATATTTTGGTCAGGATTTTGCGATTTGGGACCACTGTGCGGTCGCCGGAAATAAACCGGGACCAACAGCCCCGGTGATGGTGGAAGGGGGGGGCGGGGATGAGCGGTGCGGATCGGGGAGAAGGGGAGCCCAGGGGCTGGCAACGGCGACCTCGGAGACCCTCGCCCCCTGCGCCGACAATCTCCCACCCACCCCATCCAGGGGATGTAACACAGGGATGGCGGCTGCCGGATCCTCCCAAGGACCGAAGGCCGCCGGAACGCAACCTCCGTCCGGTGGGAGCATCCCCAAGGCAGTAATGTCAAGGGGAAGGCCGACCACAGCGGAGGCGACGAATCGGACCGGGCTTCTGGGTGTGCAAAAGGGGAGTCAACGTACCTTGATGCACACCCTGAAGGCCGGTACCAAGGGAAAGAGAGGGATGGGCCCCGGCGGGGAACATAACACGCCTACTCCGACCAAGTGAGACCGGACCACGTCTGACACCAACAAGGTGCCAGATGGTACCAGGTTCTCGCAGATCAACTTGCAACATTGCAAGGCGGCAACGGACATTCTCCTGTGCCGCCTAACGATGGGGCAGACAGATATAACCCTTATACAAAAACCTTGGATCCACAAGGAACGTGTAGGAGGGCTAAACACGGGGTGCGACTCACTCTACTATGATGCCACATCCACAAGGCCCAGGGCCTGTATCTTCGTCAAGAAGAAGATAGCGGCCCTGAAACTTAATGAATTCTGTACAGCTGATCTTTCAGCGGTTAAGGTTAAACTTAACCTCAGTGGGAACACGTCAGAGCTGGTGGTATGCTCGGCGTACCTGCCGTACGACTCTGAGGACCCTCCACCTACGAGGGAACTCAGGGCTCTGATAGATCACTGTGCTGTTAATGGTCTTCACCTGGTGATTGGTTGCGACGCTAACTCGCACCACACTGTATGGGGCAGTACAAATACCAACGGCAGAGGTACAGCATTGCTGGCGTACTTCGCCACCACTAGCCTGGAAATCCTTAACATAGGCTCCTCTCCCACCTTTGTTACCTCCTGCAGACAGGAGGTGATTGATCTGACCCTGGGCTCCGCCAAGGTGACACAGGTCATTAAACACTGGCAGGTACGGGACGAGAACACACTCTCGAACCACCGCCTTATCACCTTTGAACTAACAGGCGACAGGGACGGCGGCACTGGCGAGGCTTACAGGAACCCAAAGGCCACCAACTGGGCACTCTATAAAGAGGACCTGAAAGGGAGGCTGAAGAGGAACTGTCAGCGTCCCAGGACCATAGGCGAAATTGAGCAAGCGGTGGAGTATCTGAGCTCCGCCATTACTCAAGCCTATGAAGCTGCCTGCCCGGCCAGAATCAGGTACAGTAGCAAAAGGGTCCCCTGCTGGAACAAGAAATTGGACCAAGCCAGGAAGGATACCCGCAAACTACTGAATAAAGCCATGAAGGCAAATACGGAGCCAGCTTGGGACAAATACAAAAAGTCCCAGCAAGCTTACAAAAAGTTAATAAGAACCAGCGAGAGGACGGCCTGGAAGACCTTCTGCAAAGAAACCGAGGCACTACCTGTAGTTGCCAGGTTAAGGAAGGTCTTCACGATAGGCCCCTCACCGAGGTTGGATCGCCTTAGACTCCCAAACGGAGGTCTAACGAACAACCACAAGGAATCACTAGAGCACCTTATTTAAACACACTTCCCAGGCTCAGTAGCAGAGGATCGGGAGCAGCGCTGTAGCGATACCGCGCGCACCGACCCTGCTCCAGCGGACTGGGGAATAGCTGAGAAGGTGATAAACACGGACAGGGTGAGGTGGGCCATCGACTCCTTCAAAAGATTCAAGAGCCCAGGCACTGACGGGATCTTCCCAGCACTCCTTCAAGAGGGCGGGAGGACCTGTACAGGCGCCTGGGCCAGATCTTCAAATCCTGCCTAGCGAAGGGCTACGTACCCAAAGCCTGGAGATACTCCAAGGTAGTATTCATCCCGAAGCCAGGGAAGGACAACTATGACCTTGCCAAGTCGTACAGTCCCATCAGTCTCACCTCTTTCTTGCTTAAAACGCTGGAGAGGCTGGTTGACAGGTACATCAGAGACGAGGTTTTGGCCAGCAAACCGCTGACCCCTCACAACACGCCTACCAAAACGGCAAATCCACCGAGACGGCACTTCACAACCTGGTAGGTTCCATCGAAGGTGCACTGTCGAACGGTGAATCTGTTCTCTGTATCTTCCTCGACATCGACGGGGCGTTTGACAACACCCCTCACGATGCTATACAGGAAGCCGCGATGAGATACAATATTAACGACTCCGTCGTAAGATGGATCCGCAATATGCTGATGAACAGAACAGTCACAGCAAGCCTGGGAGAGGAGACGGTGAGGGCCGACGTCGCGAGGGGCTGCCCGCAGGGAGGAGTCCTGTCCCCCCTGCTGTGGACCCTCGTGATTGACGAACTCATACGCATACTCACCACAGAAGGCTTTGCGGTTCAGAATTACGCCGACGACCTTACGATCACGGTCAGAGGCAGACACCCGCTGGATTTAGCGAAGAGGTTGCAAAAGGCTATCACACTTGTGGAATCCTGGTGTCGATCACACTCGCTGTCGGTAAACCCGAGCAAAACGGAGTTGGTCCTATTCACAAGGAGAAGACGCTTTTGTTATAAGGCTCCTTATCTTTTTGGGACGCAACTACAACTCACAGATGAGGTAAAATATCTTGATGTTACACTAGATAAAAAACTCACCTGGAAGAACCACGTAAACAGGCAGACCCAGAAAGCAATCAGCACCTACTGGGCCTGCCGCAGACTGTTTGGCCCCACATGGGGACTCAAACCAAGGATGGTCTGGTGGATATACCAGGCCATCCTTCAACCTATTATAACATACGCCTCGATTGTGTGGTGGACCTCTATGAAGAGGGGAGCACACAGAAGGACAATAGAAAGAATATACCAAATAGCGTTGCTGGGGATAACAGGGCCCACCACGCCCACTATGGCTATGGGTGCGCTGCTCGATATCAAGCCACCCCATCTAGCAGTGATGGCAAGGGCTTGGAGAGCGGCCATCCGCCTGCACTAAGCTGCAAGACGGAGCACCTCTTCAGACGAGAATATGACTTAATCATCCCAGATAGGGAGAAATGGCTGGGGGATCCTAGCAGCATCCTGACTCCGGGGGGGCTGGTCTGGTTCACAGACGGCTCCAAGACCGGATCTGGCACCGGAGCCGGGGGAGAGCCCAAAGGTTGAAATGACCTATAAACTGGGCCACCACGTTACGGTCTTCTAAGCAGAAGTGTTTGCCACATGGGCCTGCGCCAAATACAATTTGGAAAGAGACCATTCGGGCAAGCTAGTCCACAGAGTGGAGGTCGGGTCTAAGCTAGTCAGGGACTGCGCACTGACTCTAAGACAGCTATCTCTAAATAACAGAGTCAAGCTGATATGGGTACCAGGTCATGTTGGTATCTTAGGTAACGAAAGGGCGAATGAACTGGCGCGACTGGGGGCAACAAGCTCTCAGCCATACCAAGAGCACCCTATTGATGTCTCAACCTATGCGTTAAAGGGCCTGGCTAAAGAATGGTTGAACCAGGAATTTACCAGGCTCTGGCAAAACGCTAACGGTATGAGACACACGAGGGCTCTACTTGCGGGACCGTCTCAGAAGATGGGTGACACATTAGTTTACCTGGACAGGGCGCAACTGCGCATGCTCGTGGGCCTAGTGACAGGACACTGGTACACGAAGAAACACCTCACACGCATGGGACTCTTAGTGGAGTCGACATGCCCGAGGTGTGGGGCGGAGGACGAAACACCTCTCCACGCACTTCTAAGATGCAGGGAACTAACAAGGAGAAGGCAAGCACTTCGGGTCTCAGATTTAGTAGAAACTTCGTACACTTATAGATCTTGTTCCCCTGTATACGAATATATACCATTACAGGCGTAGATACTCAATAGTTTTTTAGATATTTGTATTTGAACTTTCATTACAATGAGAAATACAGATTTAGTGAAAGGTTCCGACAAGAAGCGAACTGGCAACGTATCTGATACACATACTCAGAAGGCATGGGTTCGAATCCCTTCGTGGTATGTAATTTCTTTTTTCGATTTATTTACTGCAATTAATTGGATTTCAAATATATATGCAATGATACTATTCATGACAAACAAGAAATAAAAATTGTGTGTAAAAGTAATATAATAAATAATTAAATCAAAGCATACCTCGTTGACTGTGCCTGAAAACAAAACATAATCGTAAAAATATATATATGTTAAATAATTGTAACATAAATAACGAAAACATTTCCACATCTAATAAATGTAGTTTTATTGCACGCACATCTGCTCGTTTTGGTGTTAATGTCCTTCCTAAAGTGTGCTTTGTTTTAATTATTTATTATATTACTTTTACACACAATTTTTATTTCTTGTTTGTCATGAATAGTATCATTGCATATATATTTGAAATCCAATTAATTGCAGTAAATAAATCGAAAAAAGAAATTACATACCACGAAGGGATTCGAACCCATGCCTTCTGAGTATGTGTATCAGGTACGTTGCCAGTTCACTTCTTGTCGAAACATTTCACTAAATCTATATTTCTCAGTATAATGAAACTTCAAATATAAATATCTAAAAAACTATTGAGTATCTACGCCTATAATGGTATATATTCGTAAACAGGGGAACAAGATCTATAAGTGTACGAAGTTTCAACTAAATCTGAGACCCGAAGTGCTTGCCTTCTCCTTGTAAGGGCCCTAAGAGGATCAA